AATGCTTTAGTTGAAAATCAAAGTAAACATTGTGGCTGCAGTGTGTTTAGCTTTGTACTTTAGTTAACTTTGTATTAATGGATTTCTGTTGGATTAACTAAGGAAACATACTCTGATCTTATTGTGAAAAGCGATAAACATTACAAATGTTCAGGTGCTTTTATGTTGAAATAAAACTGTTGTTTTCAGAGTGGGTGATGATGTTAATTTTGATGTTGACAAGAAATTAACGCTAAACGATTTCTTCATTTGTAGGAGTTTGTTCGCTTGATCATATCTGACACAATGACAACTTACATCACACTGCTGATTGGTGATTTCCTGAGAGCAGTTCTTGTTCGTTTTCTCAACTACTGCTGGTGTTGGGACCTAGAGGCTGGCTTTGTGAGTCATCTTTTCTATCACTTATTTGTTACTCGAATTTAAAAAATGTCACTCTTTGGAGAAAAAAAAAGTGTGCCAAAAGTAATAGTTGCCTTTAATTTCTCACTTGTAAAAGCCATCCTACTCTGAGTTTGACGTCAGTGGGAACGTTTTGGGCCTGATCTTCAATCAAGGAATGATATGGTAGGAAAGCAGCAATTGTTTCACTCAGAAGATTCTTATTTCAGGATGGTGTTTTACTTTTAGCTAGGTTCAACATGGTTTTCATATTGATAAAAGCCTCTTACTAGCTCAGCATCTGTCCTGCTTTTTCTAATCGTTGCTTTCAGGATGGGTTCCTTCTATGCGCCCTGTCTGCCTGCCTTAAACGTCATCCGGCTCCATGTCTCCATGTACCTGCAGTGCTGGGCTGTTATGTGCTGTAATGTGCCACAAGAAAGGGTCTTCAAAGCCTCTGGTTCCAACAACTTCTACATGGCCATGTTGCTGGTCATCCTCTTTCTGTCCACACTGCCTGCCATCTACACCATTGTCTCCATTCCCCCTTCATTTGACTGTGGACCCTTCAGGTAATGACACTAGTTCAGGGTATCTAGCTTTAAAATATAAATGACTTGGGTTTTTATAACCACTACCATCTTTGTAATAGTGGTAAGAACCGCATGTTTGATGTGATCCACGAGACTCTGGAGTCTGACTTTCCTCCATGGTTTAGCAAAGTTTTCAGCTATGCCTCTAACCCTGGATTGGTGCTACCCTTCATACTTCTTATGGTGTGAGTTAACGGCAGACTATGTAAATCCATAAATAAATATATTTCACAATGCTGTCATCATTTTCTTTCAGTGTTTAAGTGGTAAGAACTTTGGTGGGAATCATGTGTTATTTTATCTTTCAGACTGGCCATTTATTACTTGCAATCTACATCCAAAAGCTACAGAGAAGCAAATGTGGAGCTGAAGAAAAAGCTACAAATGGTAATTTCAGTTTTGTTTTTCCTCTAATGTAGCACGTACTGCTGTAGCTGTTTTGTGGTTTCTCTGACCAGAAATTGCACCTGAATAGCATTCAGAATCAAGTGACGAGTTTTGAGAGTAAAAAATATCCCAAGAAATTGCATGTATGTAAGTTGGCTGTTCTCTAGGTTTGTTTTCATAGTTAATTTTAGCAGTTGGTATGCTTTCAAACAGCACTGAAGTTCACAAAGAGACCGCCCGAGGCTACTGTGACTGTGATGCATGACTGCTGTCACGCAATTGTATTAGTGTTATCTCTCCAGCAGAGAGCAGCAAAGGCTGACAGTTCAGATCTATCCAAAAACCCACTACAGGTTCCACCAATAACAAATCTGCAGAAGAGATGCTGGGTAAATGTACGTGCTTGCTCTGAGTGATCTGAAAAATAACACGTGTGGGTATCTTTTGTTTTTGTTTTGTTTTTGTCTCTTGGGGATTTTTTTAAGCAAAATGAGGAGAACAAGAGGAAGAACAAACGAGCAGCACTGAAAGCTCAAATGGATTTGGAGGAGGCCAGAAAGACTGCACAAGAGCAACAAAGGAACAACAATGCTTCAGTACAGGATCAAGAAGGTGAGTCTTTTGAATT